CTAGGCTTCATGGTGTCCAGAAGGGGAATTGAGGTTAACCTCCAGAAGATCAAAGCAGTAGCTGAGATAGAGTCATCGAAGTTAGTAAAAGATGTACAGAGGTTAACATGGAGAGTAGCAGCTCTTCATAGATTCATCTCGAAATCAGTAGATAAATGGCTGCCGTTCTTCAAGATCATGAGATTGGCAGCCCAGAAGGATGAATCTGGCAAACAAAAGAAATTAGAATGGAATTCAGAATACCAAGTTGCATTTGACGAGCTGAAGTCTTATCTTAGCTCACCTCCTTTGCTGTCAAAGGCTAATGATAAAGAAATCCTTTACTTGTACCTCGGCATATCAGATGAGGCTATCAGTTCTGTGTTAGTGAGAGAAGAGAGGAAGCAACAGAAGCCAATTTACTACACTAGTAGCGTGTTACATGGAAATGAAATCAAATATTCTATCACTAAGAAAACAGCCTTAGCTGTTGTCACTTTGGCCAAGAAGCTGTGACCATATTTCCAATCACACCCAATAATAGTCCTCACGGATCAGCCCCTCAAACAAATCTTACAGAAGCTAGAATGCTTAGGAAGATTGATCAAATGGGCAGTTGAACTGGGAGAATTTGAGATAACATTTTAGTAGAGGCCAACAATTCGAGCTCAAGCCCTTACAGATTTTATAGTAAAATGCACCTTGACTCACTCTGATTCTCAGCCCGGGCTGGACAGCTAGATTCTGTATGTTGATGGAGCATCAAGTAACAAAGGTTCTGGCGTTGGTGCAATCCTACTTGGCCTAGATGGGTACAGAAGTGAACATGCTCTGAAATTTAACTTCGATGCGACAAACAATATGACTGAGTATGAGGCTCTGCTACTTGGCTTACAGTTGGCAATAGAGCTGAAGGTTGTGGCAATACAAATATGCAGTAATTCACAACTAGTAGTCAATCAGGTCAACTCAGTCTGTGAAGTGGTCGATCCTGTCATGATGAAGTACGCAACTTTGGCGGCCGAGCTGAAGTCCAAATTCCAGAAATTTTAGTTGAGCAAAATACCCCGAGCTGAAAATGAGCAAGCAAATTCCCTCTCCAAATTTGCTTTTGATAGCAACCAAAGTTCCAGATCGGTCTTCGTTGAAGTTCTAGACGAGCCTAGCTTCTTAAAGCCAAAAATGATGGAGATCAGCACAGATTCCAGCACACCGAGCTGGACAGATCCAATTATCTTATTTTTACGAGATGGCATAATGCCTGCAAATAAACAGGAAGAAATGAGGTTGAGGAAGAAAGCATCTCGGTACACCTTGTTAATGACGTCCTCTACAAGAGATCTTTCTCACTCCCTCTACTCCGCTGTTTGAACCCTTATGAGGCTGAATACGCACTTTGGGAGGTGCATGAAGGTGTCTACAGAAGTCACATAGGTGCTCGAACTTTGGCTCATAAAGTCCTTAGACAAGGATATTATTGGCCCAACATGTATAAAGATGCCACTCAATTCGTACAGAGGTGTCAGAAATGTCAGTTATTCGCACACCTAATCAACCAGCCAACAGAATAGCTCACTAATTTGGTAGCACCTTGGCCATTTGCTTAGTGAGGACTTGATCTTTTAGGCCCATTCATGAAAGGGGTCAGAGGTGTAACCCATCTGATTGTTAGTGTAGATTATTTTACGAAATGGGTTAAAGCTCAGCCATTATCCGGTCTTACCTCCAAGAAGGTCGAAGACTTTGTTTTCAGCTCAATCATCTGCAGATATGGGATCCCGAATCAGATTGTGGCTGATAATAGAACTCAGTTCAACTGTTCCTCATTCAAAGATTTCTGCTCTAGTTATGGGATCAAATTGCAGTTCACCTCGGTGTACCACCCGAAATCTAATGGGATGGTAAAATCTGTCAACAAGGTTATACTCGAGGGGATAAAACCAAGGTTAGAACTGCATAAGGCCAGGTGGGTAGACGAGCTCAACAACGTCCTTTGGGCATACAAAACCACGAGCCGAACTGCCACAAGTATTACTTCAAACCTAGTTTACTTGATTAACTTTCATATTATTTTACTTCTTTTTCTATGGCTTTACCTTAGATCAAATATGCATAACGCGTAAAGCGCATTTTAAAATTATAATTAAATGAAATAGGTGAAACACCCTATTACCTAGCCTTTGGTATCGAAGCAGTCATTCTTATTGAGATAAGAGTCCCAAGTTTCAGGGTCACCCATTTCGATGAAGGACGAAATGGACAACTGCTTCATGAGAATCTTGATCTGCTTGATGAAGTCCGAGAAGAAGCATGACTTCGAACTTTAGTTTACAAGCATAAAATAGCCAACTTCTACAACAAACGAGTTCGACCTCGAACATTCAAAGTAGGAGACATTGTTCTCAGAAAAGCTGGTCTAATGGGGTTCGAAACTCGATTTGGAAAGTTAGCACCAAACTGGGAAGGCCCTTACACTATAGCCGAAGTGCCGCACCTAGGTGCTTATATCCTACGGGACACTGAAGGCAAAAAGGTTCCTAGAGTCTGGAATGTCAATAACTTGAAGAAATTTTACCCTTAAAAACACTTCTTTTCAATGAACTTTGTCTCATTTTTATAATTGTCATTATTCTCTCTTTCTGCTCAATGTATATACGAGTTCAATTCGTTTATCTCATTAATGAGTTTCACTTCACATTCGAAGTGATTCAGTTCTTCCTACTTTTCTGTACATTAGAAGTGAATTTTACTCATTCCCGAAGTTAATTCATTGTGACTTGTTCAATCACTTCATTTTCCGGGTTACGATTTTATTAATCAATTACACCTTACTTTTGAAATGATTTACTTTATCTTTTCTCATTTGTATATTCGAGGTCCGCCTCATGTATATCCGAAGTCAATTCCCTTGTTGTTCATTTTATTGTGTCCAAGGTCAGTTCCTTGTGTTAATTAAAGTCACTTTATTTTATCCGAAGTGATTTACTTAAAATAAAACAGCAATTAGAAATCAACACTGAACACCAAAAATAACTTCAAAATTTTTTATAACTTAGTGAAAAATCAATTACAAAAATGTTCATTACAAGTATAACTAAAAAATATAAAATCCTAAGCTAATTTGCTGAAGGAGGAGGCTGCTCCTTAACAGGAAGAGGCAGTGCTTCTGCTTTAGGAGGAGCCAGCTGCTCTTCGCTAGAGGAAATTGGATGAACTTCAGGAGGTTGGCCTTCAGCCAAATCTATCTGGTTCTCCACTTCAGCATCTTGCCCTCCTTCGTCTTCCTCTACGGCTACCAACTCAGCATCAAAGGCTGGAGGGAAGATAGTGCATCCCTCTGCGTCATGCTCCCACCTTAGCTTGATCAGAGGTCGGAAGTCAGTAGAAAGACTTTCACCATCCTCCTCCACCCCTTCTTCTTGCTTGCCGAAGTTGACTGTCGTGACATCCACTTCGGGATACTAAGCCTTCACCTTCTTTCTACAGTCGGTGAAGGCCAAAATTGCAGTCGGCAGCCAGTAGAGGTTAATGATGTTCTCAAAGATGCTGGAGTTGAGAAAGTTGCCAATATGCTCCTCCATCTCGTTGTGAACTAGCAGCTCCACATTCTTTTTCAGCTCCACCATCCCTTCTTTCATCTTCTCGATATATTTGTCTTGAGCATCAAGCTTGTCTTCACAGATCTTCCTTTTACGTTCTTCGAAGACAAGTCTCGTGCTCAAGGTATCATTATTGTTCTGGAGTTCGGTCACTATTGGCACAATCTCATCTAGTTTCCTCTGCATCTCCTTGTTCTTCTTCTATAGCTCCTCCTTCTCCTTCTACAGCTCCTCACACTGCCTCTACAAGCTAGCACAATCTCTCACGCTCTCCACATACTCCTGCGTTAGAGCGTTTACCCAGCTTGCACTTTGCAATGCAAGCAGAAGTCAGAACTCAAACGCAAAAGTCAAAAAATAAAAAATAAAGCATGAATAAACTACAACTTCTTTACATACCTCTAGGGCGTGCCTCACAACACGAGCCCTCAACTGGCTCATCACCTATTCCCTCGCCTGCCTCCTATCCACGTCTAGAAGAGTGGCATTTAGAAACCGCTTCGCCCCAATGATGTTGGTTGCATCGAACAAGCTCTTCTGGAACGAAGGTGGAGGAATGAGCTCTTTGCCTTTGCCAGGGCCTCGCACCTCGGCCTTCTCCCTCTCCCTGACTTTAGGATCAACTTCAGCAGGGGGAGGCCGAGGCACGAACTCAACTACCTCATCCCTCCTAGCTTCTGGTTCTGCCACCTTCCTCTTCTTCCTTTGAAGTGGCGCCACCTCCTCGCTCACTTTTTCGCTGCTCCTCCTCATAGGCTCCGGCCTCTACTGCATCTCCAAAGCTCAAGCAGAAGTGCTGGACAGGCGTTCTTTCTATGCTGCCCCCTTGTCTGCCACATTTGAAGTCTTTTGACTTCTTCCTTGGCTTCTTGGGGATAGCCAGCCCTCCAATAGCATTTAAAAAACCATCCATCTCAGCTGCAAAACAAAAACAAGTGTTAAGACACAACAACTAAAAGTTCAAGTAAGTTGTAAAAAGCAAAAATAAACAAACCTTTGCTTAATGAGCTTGGCCCATAGAGCTCAACAGCCTTTATCGCCTCCGCGCTGGTGAGGTACATGATATCCACTAACTCCCCTTCTTCCCTCACCAGCTTCTCAACCTCTTCCACCTCATCCTCGTTTAACTTATAATTGTTCTGCTTAGTCTTCTTAGCTTTCCAAGCAGACAATTGTTCCATTTTGGCATCCTTCCTACTCTACTCGGTGTCATCCACAAAGAAAAATTTTTCTTTTCATCCTTTAATGGATGACGGTCCAACAATGAATAAACTCCTATTCTCTTTGCTGGATGACCAAGGGCTGAAGTAGTACCACCCCTTATCACCCTTACCCCCAACCCTTATTACAAAGAAATGCTTAAACATATTTACAGTAGAGACCCCAACTCCCCGAGCTCAGCAGTATACTATGAAGCCTATTATTACTCTTATAGCATTTGCGGTTAATTGGGTTATTCCTATACTATAATCTAATAATAACCCAACCAGTAATTCTAGAATGGGGAACTTAAGCCCTGCAACCAAATAATGAACATACATGGGCATCTAGTGATCTCGAGGTGCTGAGCATGCTCTCTTATTCACCCCGGCAGGCCTAATTAGCACATGGTGAGGAAGGTTGCAGTTACCCACGAGACCCCTAAGGCTACCCTTGCTACCCAATTCACTCACATACCCCTTCACCTCAGACACTATGTCCAAATTGGGGTCATAACACCTACCCACATTACCCTCAACCTCCATAATATTTGAGGGAATTTCTTCTTCCTCCTCTTCCACTACCCTTCACTCCCTCCTCTCCTCCATCGTCCTCTCCGAACTAGATGGAGACGAACTACTCTCCGAGTCCATGCCACCATACTCCAGGGGCATCACCTCACTTCCTACTACACTCATTGTCCCTTCTGAAAACATTTCCTCAATTTTTGCATAAATTAGGAGGAGGAATGGAGTCAGGACCCTTAAAAAATTCTAACACACACTCAATAGCATTCTCACTCCTAACCCTAACTTCCTTCAAAAGACCCAAAATCAAAAACAGAAAGGGAGAAAGGAGAATCACACTTCGGTAAAATCAAAATCAGAAATTCATCAACTTTACCTGATTTTGGTTTTGTGAAATTGTTGTTGAAGTCTCAAACGAAGCACAGACCGCACGAAACCGTGGATATTTAGCAAGAATTTGGTAGCAAAATAGCGAAGGTAAAAACCCCTTTTTACAGAAGTATTGCCTTTTATACCAAAGGCAAAATATGCCTCAGCGGCTGTGATTAACTCCATCTAACGGCTACAAAAACACTGTTTCAAATTCGATGATTAACCCCAAACGGCACCATTTCGAACTAGATGGTTCATTTTTTAAAATATGCCCGTTCGACTGTTGTAGTTATCTTTTTACAACCGCATTTATTATACACGTCATCCAGAGGACAGCTGTCACATCACGTACTGCCTCTTTGTCAGACTTATCAGATGGCCCCACTTAAGCCCATTTCAACACTCTTGCTCACTTTTACACATTCTCAAGTTTTTTAAGTGTTTTACTTCGACAACCGACTTGATGACTCTGGTCTTATTTGTCTCTTCGACTCCGGCCACAGTGACCCAATGTCACACGTTTCACTTTGGCTACCGCCATAGTGACCCAATGTCACATATTTTACATCGGCTCTAGCCACAGTAACCCAGTGTCACACGTTTCACTTCGGCTACCGCCATAGTGACCTAATGTCATATGCTTTACTTTGGCTCCAGCCACTATGACTCTGGTCATTACTTTTCATTATGGTTCCGGCCACCATGACTCTGGTCATTACTTTTCATTATGGCTCTGGCCACTATGACTCCGGTCATTACTTTTCATTATGGCTCCGACCACTGACTCTGGTTATGGTTTCTTACAATGGCTCCGGCCACATTGACTCCGGTCATTACTTTTACCACGGCCACGGCCCTGATCACTTCTGTCAGTTTATTTTGGGCATGACCATCATGACCTCCTATCTCATACTTCACTATTGACTACGGTTATACATACAGATGAGTTACAGATTTTTATTTTTATTTTTATCTTTATTTTCAATTTTGTAACTCATCTTTAATATCTTTATCTCCCTTCCTTTCTATTTATGCACTTCTCCCATTATCTCCAACAACATCATTCACAAGTGAATAACTTTGGGGGGAATAGTGTAAGGGTAGGTCCGAGGTGCTCAACCTCAGACGTACGACAGTAATTCCTATATAACCGAAGTGAAGGATAAATCCAAACCTTCCCGTTCAAACAGCTGCATGACAGCGACAATAAGCATGCCCACATCTGATTCCTTATGATAAGCTGCATAGCAGTTATGATGGACATCTTTGCGTCTAAATATCTCTCAATTTCCCGGTCCCAAAATAACCGTTTGGAGAGACACATCAGACTCCAAATATCTTGCTTGGCATGCCACGTGGATTCCTCACTGAAGCCTATAAATACCCTCCAGGGGCCACGTCAAAAAGGTAATTGAAACCAACCCTAAGCTCCTTTTATCTCCACTTTAAAGGTAACCCCGATTATTGCTGACTTAAGCATCGGAGTGTCTACCCTGAGGATCCACCTCGGGGCTTTGCAGGTCCATTTGGAGTGCAGACGCGGACTGAAGAAAGACTTCTGGTTTGGGGCAATTACAGCACCCAAGGAGCCATACATTTAAGTTGTTGAAAGGATAAACATGCCTTTAATATTCAGTTCATGTATTTGGTATGAATAATATTTAATAATGTATCTAGAAGAATGGGATTCATGTATAGCAGTTAATTAGGGGAAAACCAGTGTTTATGATTTATCTATAAATAACTTTGTAAGTTCTTATTTTCAATGAAATCAATACAGAGAAATATTGTCTCCAAACTCTCCTCTCTTCCACTGTAAAATCCTCATAAGTCCATTTATATCCAACATAAGTTTCCTCTGTTGTTCTCCCAACTTCTTGTGTGTCATGAGATCCATGCATGTACAATTGTAAAAGTTTTGTTGAATGAAAAAAATCTCATATTAAGAATATAACAAAAAAATATATATAAATTAAATATAAAGAAAATTATTTTATCTATTATCAATTCATTTTAAGTTAAATACAAATCTTATATTAAAATTCACATAATCAATATTAACAAGTTCTTCCCTATAACTTAACCATCACCAGAACGACGCCGTTGCCGCTTTTGATTACACCTGAATGAGGACCAAGGTCAAATGTATGAATTGAGATAGAGGTCTGTCTCATATCCTTTGGGCCACGGTAAAGCTGATTATTATTGTAAAGGACATTTTGAGCCAGTGGACGTTGCTTAATACCAACCAAACATGCATTTTACAGAAAAAGATGCATGTCAAATTCGTGGCACATGCAGCTAGAGTAATAATGTGAAATTTATGGTTTAAAATACATAAAATGTCAACTTAAAAATTGAGAAATTAATATGTATGATTTATATTAATAGAACATAAATACAACTATTGATTTTTTGAATATATTCATTGAATGATAGTATTTTTAAAGTTAAAACTCTAATTTTTCTCAATCGAATTAGAACTGATATGAAATATTCTTTTATTATAACTATTAGAGAAATACAAACCAAAATAGTTTTAACACTATTAAACAAGTTTATATTTTAGTTTTTAATGTTAAAATATGTATTACTGGTTTTTATTTTTCAAAAATTACAAAATTTATGAAAATGAAAATTTAAAATAAAAAACTACAGTCGTGCTAAATTGACTCTTAATTCACTTTTTGTTTCCTAAGTAGAATTGAAGGGATTATTAAAAAATTCCTATTTTATAGTTCGAATTGTATCAAACTATATAACAAGAAACATTGGATGGGGGAGAGAGCTCGGAATGTTAAGAGACTGATCCCATTTAATGATTAAAGTTGTGTAGTTTAATTACAACAATTCAGATTATACAACACTTTTTTTGTTATTAAAGATATCCACATCAGAAAAAAATTTGCCACATCAAATCCATTAAATTTCACTAAATATTCAAGAATGAAAAAAGAGTAATGGTATTTGGGACAACTTATTTATACAACTTTTTATTTATAACTTTTTTATGTCATTAAATTGGGAAAAGTGCATATCAAACTCCAAAAAAATTTGGAGTTCCAATATTAAATGACGCCATTTTTTTTAATTAAAATCTAATTCGAAATTCTGAAATCCATTTTATTAATGCTAACACTTGGATTTAGAAACTAATTATATGTTCTAATATAATTGGTTTTCAAATTCATGTATTAATATTTAATAAGGTGAATTTTTAATTTTTGAATTGGGTTTTTAGTTTCAAATATAAATATTAACATTTAATAAGATAGATTTTTAAAATTTTAATTATGTTTTAATTAAATAAACGATGTTATTTAAGGTTAGAATTCTAATAATTTTTAGGAGTTAGCACTGATATGCATTATCCTCTATTAAATTAATATATATATAATATCATAAATTTCTACAAAATAATAATAATAATAATTAGATAACATGTAAGATTGTATAAAAAATTATACAGTCAAAATTGTCCCTTAAATATTATTCTTAAGAACTGTGGCGCATGACAAAAAATATAACATAAGCACCAAAAAGATCCAAATTGAGGAGTTCAGGGATTAAAGTTCTAAAAAGACTCCAAATTTAGATCAGGGACCCTTTAAAGTCTAAGGGAGCCAAAAAAAAAAAGATTTAACTAAATTGTTTTACCTTTTTATGAGGGATAATGAACACTTTTCTGCGTTACGCATGCACTCAAACGAAATTCAAACTGAGAGAGACCTGGAAGAAAAGGTAGACATAGAGTAAGGAAACAATCCTAGCTAGATGATTTGTATAATAGACTCCCTCCGTTTTCCCCACTTACTAGATTTGATGGGTGATTTTACTTAATTATTTTATTTTTAATTTACAAAAAAAAAAGTTAAATGCTCATATTCTAAATTTACTTCTATTATTCTAACATATAAACGAGAATAGAAAACTTTTATGAGCATAGATGTATATGAAGGCCCCCCAAAAAAAGCATAAATATTGTATATGGTATTTCAATCCATTATTTTTCTTCTTTTTTTTTCTCTCTCTCTAAATCACCTAAGTAAATATGTAATCTTAAAGTGGCACAGCTAGAAACACTAGGGGCTGAACATAAATGGGCAAAAGAAAATATAATATCTACTCTCAAAGAAAAAATCAAATCTAGTTAGACTTGCACTTGACGAAAAGCAAAATATTGCGTGAGAAATCCTATATTATGTATAATATATCAATTTTTGGTGGACGTACCATCAGTTTTTCGTCCGAAATATCAAATCTAGTAAGAAATCAGAAACATAAATTTTAGTACGAAATCACACACACATATATATATATGAGATTTAGTTTTCAATTTTTATCAAAAATATCAAATATTATCTTAATCTTTTATTTGAATTAAAAATAGTCCTCAACTTTTTCAAAATTACTAAACTAAAATCCTACTATTAGTTACTCCCATTAAATTCTAAATGAAAATTCTTAATTAGAATTTTGGAAGGTCTAATAGAAATTTCTACAGAAATTTTCTTTTAATTTTTAATGCCTTAAATTTTTTTTGTTAAATTTTAGATACTTTAAATACCTTAGCTCTTCTTTTTTGAAAAAAATTTGGGAAATTTTTTTTTTTGCTTTCTAGATAAAGGTTTATATATATGTTATAGGTTGAAATCCTATAATTTGAGATGAATTTTTATTTTATATTTTTTGATATATTTTATAAAAATAATAATTTAAATGACAAATAAATTACAATTAAAAAATATTTAAATTTTAAAATTTATTATATTATTAAACTATTAAATTATATCAAAAGTTTCTAGAATTGAAGTAAAGGATTTACGTTAAGTAGAAGGAAAAAAAATGAAATATAATATATATTTGGAGTTTTTCATATGAAAAAACACAAGATTCAACAATGTTTAAAAAGTAAAATATAGATTTGGTGTTAGAAAAAAGAATAGCTTAGCAATTTTTTTTATTAAATTATTTTGGTGGCTTTCCAAAATTTTAAGTAAGATTTTCATTAGGAATTTAATGAAAGTGACTAATAATAAAATTAAAGTTAGTGATTTTAAAAAGGTTTGAGACTATTTTTTTATCTAAATAAAAGATTAAAATAATATCTAATATTTATAATTAAGGTTAAAAACTAAATCTAATATTTAGTCAATAAATTTATGATATATATGAACTCCTATCATCATATGATATGAGATCTACATAATTTTAAGTTTGGTGATTGTACAAGCACACCTTTTAATAAATAAAGTCAAATATAAATGTCATTTTACTTTTTAATATACTTTTTTGCCTAGTAAATTTTTTAATTTAATATACTTTTTGATATTTATTTGATTTAGTTATTGAAATGTAATATAAGTATAATTAGTTCAATTAATTCCTTTATACTATATACATTATTTCATTTTAAATTTATCTGTTTTTAATTTATAATAAAATTTAATATTTTTAATGAATAAATTTTGTAATATATTAAATTAAAAGATGTACTAGTCAACATTAAATGTTTTAATAGAATTGTATATATGTGACAAATGTAGGATTTAATTCCTGCTATTTAAAAATTATGAAAATGATCGATTGAGAGATAATTTTGTGCATAACTTCTATATATAATTTTATATATTATTTAATAATTAGTTTTTTTCACTATGGTAAAACTTGTAATATAATATGTATTAATTTATTTAATAACAAATAAAAATTATATACAAAAATTATGTTGAGTCCATATCATTACTACTAAAAAATATGAGTAGTGATCCATGGAATGAAAATGAGGGACAAAAATTTAAGACCAATTATTTGACATAACTTAGATTATTAAACAAATTATTGTATATAATATTATAAATTTCAATAAAATAAAAAAAGTAATTATTAAATAATATAAAATTTATTTTTAAATATAAAATTCATTGCTCCTAACGCCAAAATTTTAATTCTGTTTATTATTGTCACGCCCCAGAACCCAAATTCGGGAACGTGACAGACGTCGTGCACTCATGAGAGAGTCCCACAAATGCATAAGGATCGGACCTTAATCATATCACAATTTGATACCACTAAAATCTGAAAATAAAATCTTTAATATTTTCTCTGATATCATAAAATTTCCAGATACAATCTAACTTACAAGATCATGATTTATATCTAAATCTATGTCAAATTTACAATATGGCTAGCCTTCTAACTCGTCACTTCCCGTGGTTTCCCCTTCTGCGGTTTCGCTTCCTGAAGTGGTGGACAAGGAAAAACTATGAAATAAACTCAGTAAGTAAATATGGATAGCCCTTAATTAAACTCATAGCATGCCAATAAGTACAATTACGAAAAATGGATACAGTATGGGAACGAAATAGACGTCTCCTCTATAGGTCACGGCTAGTGTTATAAACCTCCCACTGGCAGGCACACTATTTGTTGGTGTATAACCACCACTAGCAGGGTTGAACGAACCCGTTTATCAATAACATGTCGACATGTGCTAGCATTTATAAACCTCCCACTAGCGGGCACACGAATAACATGACCATATCGAAGACAAAACAGGCAAAAATTAACAGAAAAATCACAATTCACAATCACTTTCAAATCATCAGGGCAGTCAAATAAACTTCAAGCAGGCATGTTCAAATCAATAAAAAGAATAATAATCTTATTTCAAATCAATCATGCTCATTTTTGTATAAAACGGGTTTAGTCCCGCCACCACTTTAAAAACAAGTCAAAACATGCTTTTAAAATCGAAGGGCGTCATAATCTACTTACCTCACTCGCATAAAACCGAAGACTCGATCTCAGTGCTAAACTAATAGAACGATCAAGAACCTAATCAAAATATCCAAGAATTAATATCGTACTATCACAAATTCACACTGAAATCATCATTAAGACTACCCTTAATCACGATGTTATTTTTATAAATCTCCACATTATCAGCTATCTCCCATTCGTTCTTATATCAAAAACTAATCATTTAAATCCCCGTTAATTGTTGACCCTCGGTGTGTGAACAGTAATATGTGAACAGTGCTCACGCCGTGAACAGTACTGCAACTTCCAAAGATTGGCCAAAACCATGGCTAATTCACGGGATTTCTCTCCAAAAATCACACAGCAGTCAATTCAAGCAATTTACACATGAATTAAGCTTAATTATGCTCTAATTACTACCCAAATTCATCCCCAATTTTCAGCCAAATTCATCCCCAATTTTCAGCCAAATTCGGACATCACAAGGCAGCAATAATTCATGGACAACCTCAGCAGCTAATGGACAATTTTAGGCTTAAAGTGGCTTCCACATACCAGAATTTGCAAGCAAGGAACCGGAGCTGCAGGGAGAAGAAGCCGGCGGCAGTGCAGGGGGAAGCTCACGGAAACGACCCAAAAATTGAAGGGAATAAGAGCAATTAAGGTAAACCCAAGGCAATTCAAAGCTAGAGGAGGGAGATTCATGGCTATTTCTTACCAAAAACCAGAGCAAATCACAGCCCACAAAGCAGGAGCAGCCGGCAGTGAAGAGGAGGAGCAGAGCAGATCCTGATTTTCCAGCAGGGGGAGGAGGTTTCTAAGCTCAAATCTAGTTTTTGAACAAGAAAACAAGGGGAAAATCCAAGCTTCTTACCGGTTTTTTCTCAAAAATTGTTGCCAGCAGCTTGGGGGACTTTCGGGTGCAGGGGAGAAGAAAGAAGAGCAGGCGCGGGTCTGAGGAGGAAGAGAAGAAAGAAAGAAAGAAAAAAAAATGAGAAAAGAAAAAAAGAAGCTGATCCTTATCCAAAATCTTTCCCTCTTTAAGTTCCTCAACTTTTAAAAGTTTGGCTATTAAGCCCAAAACAATATTTTCCTCACAATCAAGTCCTTAACGAAATGCTAAATATCACAAAATTTTGGGGCATTACAATTATTATTTATAAAGAGGAGGTTTAGGTGAGAGTGGCTCAGTTTCAATTTACAAAATTTTAATATCATCTAACAAAATGTTAGTTGAATTTGTATTCAAATATAAACTTTTATTTTTTAATATGTTAAACCAAAGGATGTATTAGGCAGCCGTCAATGTATGGAGTTATATATAATGTCACAAATGTAGGATTTAATTCCTTCTATCTAAAAAATATAAAAATAATTGAGAGATAAATTTTTTATATAACTTTTATACATAATTTTACATATCATTTAATAATTAGTTCTTTTCACTTTATTAAAATCTATAATATTATATGTATTAATTTATTTACTAACATGTAAAAATTTAATTTATTTACTAACATGTAAAAATTTAATTTATTTACTAACATGTAAAAATTTAATTTATTTACTAACATGTAGAAATTATATACAAAAATTACCTTAGATCCATATCATTACTACTAAAAAATATGAGTAGTGATCTATTAAATGAAAATAAGAGAAAAATTTAAGACCAATTACTTGATATAAGTTAGGTCATTAAATATTAATATATACAATATTATAAATTTTAATAAAGTGAAAAAAATTAATTATTAAATAATATAAAATTTATTTTTTAATATTTTAAATGATGCGATTCATATTATATCATTACTCTTAACGCCAAAATTTCAGCCTTGTTTATTATTATTTTTAAAAAGGAGGCTTAGGTGAGAGTGGCCTGATTGCAATTTTCAAATTTTAATATCGCAATTTCTAATCTAACAAAATGTGAGCTTGAATTTGTATTCAAAATATAAACTTTTCTTATTCCAAATCAAGTGAAGAATATTTTTTTGCATTCTTCACATGATAAGTGGAGTGATAACACTCCATTCTATAAGTGGGAATACTACTAGGGCATATTGTGTTTAATCCCAGCTTGCTGCTTATTCAATTTGCAGGGTTTTGGGAAATGATTTGCGGAGGTTATTTTTACAACTTTTGTTTATAATTTGATAATGGACAAAAGGTTTGATGAGGGCTCCAAAGACTTTGTACCCTCTTCGCCTATCATGCCTTCAATTAAGCTGTAATTCTTGGGAATGTTTTTATGTTTTTTTGTTCATATCATGTGATGCATACATTACAAATTACTACATTCAATTTAAATAACGTATAAATTAAGTTGTAAACTACCAATCACTTAAAGTTGTTTTATAATAATTTTTTTAATAAAAATAAAAGATATTAAATTCAAGTAACATAAAATGTTGCATGGATAGAATAAAATAAAAAATAAAACAGAATTAAATTATTTCATATTATGCAAACCCAAAAATCACAAATAAATACAAAAATAAATCACAATACCACTTAACAACAAACTAAAAATCTGGACAAAACCCATATGGTACAAAGCAAGACAGGACTCGTAGGCCGAAACAAAACAATAATAATGATAATAACGGTAAAGGTGTACTATACAATAATAATGATAATAACAATAATAATTATAATAACGGTAAAGGTGTACTATTTTATGGTACAAATTGTTTTAGAACGTAAAACACTTTTTTTCTAACAATAATAAAATCCAAAATTATCCAAGATTGAAACTAGAAAAAAATGGTCGTATAAAAACCCCAAATGGCAGAAATCATGGGGGGACCTTGGAACAAATTTTGAGTCCACTTTTGATTTCTTCTAGTAGGCATTTTTTTTTTTCCCGTAAAACATTGGTCACAATGCCATATTTTGCCATCCACAGTTATCCAAACTATTCTTCCCTAAATTGCTATTGTTGACCAGATAATAAAATAAATTATCCAAGTTGTTCCCTCGTCCTGGCTCTGTTGACGAATCTCGCACTTTTATCTAACCCCTCTAGTAGAAGAATTCTAACTGCTTCTACACCTTGTTGAAATGTAAAATCCAACTGCAAACGTATTTAGTAAATAATTAAAATGCATTACCGTATTAAAGTTCGTTGCCTGCAGCTAAACTATTGCATACCTCTTGATGTTCTTGCTTCGTGAAAGGGTGAAGAACAAAGTTAGCAGCATCCATATTCCCTGGTGGCCGTCCAATGCCTAGAAGAGTTTCAAATTTTGACAATTAGAAAAGGAAAATATTGGATATTATGCTTGCATTACTCAAAGCAACCAAGAAGCCTACCAATTCTTAAACGAGGAAAATCACGGCTCCCTTTAAAGCAATCAATGATATTTTTCAACCTGCAACTAGAAGCTAGAGCAATCCATTAGATAATCAATGGATTGTCATGACTGTAATTACAATTTACAAAGCTAATGACAAAAATCACATCCTTAAAGTTTGAATCCAAAAACCATGGCTCTCTCTCTCTCTCTAATATGTTTGAATCATCCTTTGACAAAGATCCAAGTATCAGCTAAAGAGTACTTGTTTGGGCAGCTTCTCAAACCTCTATTGTATAGATCTCCAACTACTTCAACACCTAAAATACCCGAGAATATTTTCTCGATGAGATACTTCAATGCCCAAGTTAGCAATATTCTACTCTTAAAGCAAGAAGCTCCCAAGAAGAGTAATTATCGAGAGAGAAGCATAGTGGAGTCATACCTTGCATGAGGGTAGATGGGGGTATTTATAGCCTTCATTAATGATATAATGTTCCACGTGTCTTCACCCAATTAACCTAGATGTAACTACTCACGTGGGCACACCCTCGTGAGCATGTCCATGTTTTCAACTGCCTTTGGGCTTTCCTTGGCTTGGTGGTCCTATATACACAAATGGGCCTGCTAACAGGGCTTGTTGTGACTGTTGGGCCTATTCCCCAACATTACTCCTCCCCTCGGTGTTTGCTTCGTGAACTACTATAATTCTTAGGTTAAATCCCCATTTTGGTCCCTGAACTATTGTACGGACCCTCGATTTGGTCCCTGAACTAAAGAAATCCCTGATTTAGTCCTTAAACTATTGTACGGACCCCTGATTTGGTCCCCACTGTTTATAATTTGGCCTAACTTGGTCCTTGAACTATTGTACGGACCCCCAATTTGGTCCTTACTGTTTACAATTTCGCCCCAATTTGGTCCCTGAGCTATTATTTAACAGAAGGACCAAGTTGGGGTTAAATTGGTAAATAGTAGGGACTAAATTGGGCATCCGTACAATAGTTTAGGGACTAACTTGGGAGTCCGTACAATAGTTTAGGGATCAACTCAGGGGTCCGTACAATAGTTCAAGGACCAAATTAGGGATTTCTTTAGTTTAGGGACCAAATCGAGGGTTCGTACAATAGTTCAGGGACCAAAATAGGGGTTTAACCTAATTCTTAATATGGCCTGATGTACTAAAATCACCCTAACAAGTGGCTATAAATGGCTGCAACATGTAAGAATTTAATTGGCTATATCAGAAACATGCATATGAAAATTCAAAAATGCGTGAAGTGGTGAAAAAAAGGGAATGTAAACGACCATTTTGTTGTTTTGTCCCTTTCTTCTTTTGCATTGTTCTTTGCCATTTTGCAACAATAGTGTTGAAGTTCTCCAGAGAAACCTTAAAACTTAGAGGCATAAGGCGCAAGGAAGTGTTATCAACCTAGAGATTCAAGTAAAAATGGAGTTTTTCAGAGAACTTAGAGAGCTTCGAGGTAACCAGGAAAGGGAAGAGGAAGAGGGTGTTGTGTTTGTGGAACCAATCGTGATGATAGTACCATTGGTGTTGCAGGATTTGTCGGAGTCTATCACACCAAAAAGCAGCTCGAGTTGGAGCGCTGCTGGTGGTTTTGGTAGTCGTCACTCTTTGTCTTCTAGAAGTTCATCTTTAGAAGTGACACCAAGTGATGGTGAGGATGGAAGAATAGGCAATGGCACTCTCGTGATGACAAGTATGGAGGAGAGTGTACCAGTGATGGGTGCATGGGAGAATACGCCTATTACTGGAAAATTAAATAATATTGATGAGATGCCACAAGATTTGCCTATCGAATTTAGATTTAGAGCAGTGCTCCACCATGAGGTAGCTAATGGGATGGCTATCATGAAAGGGTTTAAAAAATTGGGGGAAATTGTGAAATGGTTTTAGATCCCCAAGATAGTGTTGCTTCAGGCTGAGACTAAGAACGAATGGATGTACTCAGTGTCAAGGATCGGATGGGTACTAATATACCTAGATTATTTTGAAGTAGGCTTATTCATCAAAAAAATTTTTGAAGCAAGCTTACATTTTCCTTTGCCAACGTTAATTTTTGACATTTTGGTAAAGTACAAACTGGCACTAATGCAATTGACCCCAAGCTCCATGAAATTCATTATAGGGTTTATGCTGCTTTGTGCGAGATTGGAAATACTTGCAAAGGCGACGATTTTCAGATTTTTCTCTTTCAATGTCGGTTGAGTAACAACCAAATGAGGTGGCACCATATTTCGAGAAAGGAGAAAATGATGCTCTTCACTGATGTAAAGAATAAAGTGGCAAGGTGGAAGAGGTAATTCATTTTTGTTCGCGATACACAAACGAAGAGGATGAGTAATGAGTTCGTTGCTCGCATCTCTGAATGGCATACTCCCCAGACTTATATGAGCTATTCAATATTGACGTCGCCTTGAAAAATATGTTGCTGAATAATGTTAAGAAAGAGGGGTTTGCAGACTTGGAAGCCCTAGTTACATTGGAGCAACTAGCGACGTTTAGGTTTGTGGATACCACAAACCTTTATACCGAAGGCATATTTCATTGCAAAGTTGGAATTTTAATTAGGCTGAGTCTTATTGTGCTTATTGGTGTAAGAGAGATGAGTAGTATGTTGAAGAGACAGCATGAACGAGCATAAAGGTCAAGGAGCAAGCGTGCATATGCCAACCTGCATAGATAGACCCAATTTGACAAGCGACCGAAACCACCTTGCAGCTCATATCAAAGAGAATATGTTTCTAGCTCGTCCATGAGAAGTCATGCCGAGCAAAGAGTTTAGCCCCCAACCTTAGATTTGCAGAGGTGATAGAGGGAAGAGGTGGACGTTGAAGATGATATGCCACCTCTTGAGCAGCAACAATCAAGTTCTGGGGTCCATTCAACCTGCACCTTCGTCTGAGGTCCCTCCAATTGTGCCAACCAGTGGCACTGAAGTTGGGTTGACGTAAACACAAATTTCGTGCCCTAGGATTACATACCCTGAGGGCTTTAGTTATACAAAGGCAAATTGCCATATGGCAATGCTGTAGGGTATGCACAGCTTCGTGCCCCCTATTGATAGGTAGAGGACTATTAGTTATGTGCAGGAGAATGGAAGTGGTGCTACGATGCTAAAGCTTATGGATGTAAGTATTATTGCTGAATTTTTTATAGAAATTTTAAGTATTTGCTTTTGATAATAACAGTTACAGGTTGAATATCAAGCTTTTAGCTATGTCATGGCGTTGTTCGAATGCGAACAGGCAACTCGGGGGTAGACATGTGAGTTAGCCGAGAATTGCAAACGTTTGTCCTCAAAAAAAGCTAGCTTGGAGGATCAAGTCAATAACCTTCAGACTTCTAAGATGGCCAATAGAGTTGCCATAGCTAAAACCCGAATAGATGGGCTAAACAACCAATTGCTTGAGCTTAAAGAGAAGCTTGAGAGGGCTTAAGCAAAAAGGGAGAGCGGCATTTTGGCCGCTAAAGAGGAAACAAAGCGAGCTGAGCAGAAGCTAAAAAGGACGGTGTTTTGAATGAGCTGAGTGCCCCTGAAGTTGAGTGTGGTTGAGGCCGATCAGAACCTTGGACATGCTTAAGAGGTATTGAATGAAATGAAGAGGTCATATCGACAATCTGTAGATATCGCCCGCACCTAAAGAGCTGAGTGGTTGCTCGACGTAGATGCATTTCAAGATGCTTTGGCTATTGCATCAATGAATGCTATGATGCAAATTTATGACGACGCTTGTAATAGGGTACTACAACATAGACCTGACTTGCCCATAGGCAAGCTGATGTTCGTGGAGGGAGAAAAGATTGACGAGCAAGGAAAAAGCTTGCTCCTTCTATTTGACACAACAGCACAACTATGGTGGAACCTGAACAAGGACGAGGTACTTGTTTTCCCTCCATCTATCTTTGAGGAAGGAGAAGACATGGACTCTTTGCCTTGTTTCAAGGCCTAGGTTGTTGGGACGCTCGATGCATAAGTTGAACCTTTAAGAACTCTTGAAGAATCCCAGCCTACTCTTTCTCTTGCTCGTGATGAAGCTGCGACAACAGTGCCTTCAGTGGACTTAATCGATGACTAGGAAAGAAGGCACTTTGTGTAAATTTTTGTATTTTTGATTTTGTTAGTTTTAGTTATTTTAGTCAGCTCGTATGTAATTGGCAATGCACATTGACTGAATATGAAGTTAAAACGAATTTATCTTTGAAAATTTTGAGTCTCACTCATGTATGAATACATGTTGCCCTTTACATTACCAAACTAACAATAACCACAAACTATAGTATTTCCTAAGATTATGTATATTCCATGTAAATGGTAATTGATGACCCTACAAATCTTGTAAGACATATGTCCCAGGTCCTTTGACGATTACCAACTTGTAATGGCCTTCCCAGTTAGGGGCGAGCTTACCCATGCACGAATAAGTATTGGTAAGCCTTGCCTTCCGTAAAACTAGGTCACCAACTTGGAATTGATGAGTGCGAACTCTCTGATCGTAAAATTTGGTAATGCAACTCTGATAAACCATGTTTTTTATTCATGATGCCTCTCTTGCTTCTTCAATAAGATATACATTTTCTTGGAGATGCTGCTCGTTAATGGAATCATTGAACTAGGCAGCTCTCTAGCTCGGCAAACCAATTTCCACGGGGATGATGACTTCAGTTCCATATGAAAGGGAAAACGGAGTTTCTCCCGTAGCCAAACTAGGTGTAGTCCGGTAAGACCATAGGACTTTGTTTAGCTCATCTACCTAATTTGTTTGCATAGCTATGACACCTGTTTTGAAGCTATGACACTTGTTTTGAGGCTGCACAAAACAATTTTATTAGCAAAAACCGTTTGGTCGTTTGATTGCAGTGTGTAAATAGATGGTTAAATACCCTTTTTGGTCCCTCTACTATAGGAAAAAGCCCCTTTTTAGTCCCTGTACCAAAAAAATCCCCTTTTTGGTCCTTACTGTTCACAAATCCGGCCCCTTTTTAGTCCTTCCGT